AGTCTCTTGTGTGCCAACCCACAAATGTCGTGGTTCTACTTGTTTTGATCAGGCTCACTGAAGACGTCTCTTCACTTCTGATTGTTGCTTTCTCATCGCCCTGCGATCTCTTTTCCTAAAATTAAGGATATTACCTTGATCCAGTCGTCTTCTTTTTGCTGATCTTGCTGTTGCCTGGTCTACTCCGAGTTTGCTTAGGCAATATGCAAAGTTTTCGTTGATCCTGTCTTCTTCAAGTCTTCTGTTCATTAGATTTCTCTCGGATCTTGCGTTTTCTCGTATTTTCACTACATGCAGCCAACCTTTCGGTCGATTTTCAGTCGATTTCGTGCCCCGTGGGTGCAATGCGTTCCGCTATTTACGATCTTTGTGTATCCAAGTTCCTGCAGAGTCTTTGATGTTCCTTGTTTCGTTGGCCGATTTTTCTTCCTGTTTCATCGATATACTTCTGCTCAGTTTCCACATTTGATGCGATAAACTCCCGAGCAATCAAGTTTGTCTGTTTTCTCGTGTTGCGTCGGCAGACTTGTGAAAAGTGTTTTCTTCTCCCTTCTTATCACCTTGATATTCCATTGCCTTAGTAACAGTCGCAATTATTGGCTCAGTTCTGATGAGGGCAGGCAAAGCTACTTTTCGTTGTCATCCTGATTCCTTATCTGATTTTCATAGAATCCACGTTGAAATAGGCCCTTTATCACCTCCACATTTTTTTATATAAATTCTCTGGGGTATCCGTTACTAAGGCAAATCCGTGTCAGTTTGTCCAACTCCTTGTCCGTTAGTCGTGAGCTTCTGATGATCAAACCCTCAGTATTCCGATCTTCAGTCAGTAGTTATGATGAGACTGGAAATTAAGGATTATTCCCGCGTATGAATTCTTTCTGTATAATCTCCTCATGACTGTCCCTTTGAAGGCAATGCCCAATATGAAGGCATGCATGAAAATCAGAGTTGAGTTGCTCTGTTCGGTGAGGCGAGGGTGTATGTGCTTCGAAATGCTTGAGAAATAGCTCCTGGAGTAAACGGTTCAATGGGACAGGAACGGAGTGAAATCGATCAACCAGAAAGTTATGAAACGGATCTACGCGACCATGAGGGAGATCCAGATTGGAGGCCGCAAACGGATTGGCCGGTCGAAAGAGAGAGAGAGAAGATGGACAGCGGGTGTGATGAGGCCACACTAGATTTGCCAAAATAGGGCACGCATTTGGACGAGTGGAGTGTAAACAAGTCAAAAGTTGTGATAGGGCGGGAGTCGGATGAAAGGGTAAAGAGTTGATAGATGGGCAAACGCGGAAAGAGGAATGATAGTGTGACTGTTTAGACAAAACGTTGGTCGAGGGATTGACCTCATTTGTCCCTTGACGAGTTTGAAGCTTGGGCGAAGAATGGTAGCGCTCACTGATGATGCCGGCGAAACGTTTTGAGAATGTACCAAGTCCGCGGTCTGATGCTGGGACTTATGCTAACTACTATGGCAGAGGCCTTCGGACTGGATGACAGCAAAACTAAGTTGCTAATACGAGGTCAACACACTTTGTTGAAGATATGATTGCACTTATGCAAGTTGGTGTTTTTTATCAATGACTAACGGTTTATTGATGGGAATGTTTGCCATAGAATAGCCCCTCTACTATGATTTATATTTGATGTTGAAAGTTCAGCTTATTGGCGCAGAAAAGCATTACATAAACAAACAAAAGTTAAATTTCGTTGACAATTTTCTTTTATACAAAAAACTTAAAATAGCGCTGAGACAATATTATAATTTTTGATTACGTTTTTTTCAACATGAGCAGCCTAATTGTCGTAAGGGCACGAGTGAAGGATAGCGGAATAAATGAGTTAACTAAATTAGACAAATTTTGGGCGATCGGGAAAACTGGCTTGTACTCGATTAGGTGGAATAAACTAATTTTAGGCAAAAATTTGCCGGAAAATATTTTACTTCATGCTTTGCATTTCTGGTGTTTACAAATTAATCGCTATTCAAGAACAATAAGATAAGGAAAGAAGACCTCTTTCTTCAACTAACACTCTACATCTATTTTGTAGAAGATACATTTTTGACAAGCCCAGATGACAATTTAGGTTGGCTTAAATGGTCACATATTGGACAGGCTGGTTTACGAATCGTCTTAAGGTATGGCCATCTGGTCCGCAGAATCAAAGTTTCGCTAACAGCGAATGTATGAAGACCAAGATGGTGTGGCCATTTGTGTGGTCGCAGTCTCCTTTCGTTGTATAGAAGTTAGTTGACCTTGGTTTCGCAACTTGA